TAAGGATTATGATTGAAAGAGGAAAATAAGGTGAAATGATGTTCACTTTCAATATTAATATCAGATATAAATAAATAAAAACGTCTTTCATTTTGTCCTCTTTTGTTAATTTCATAGTAATTGCATAGTAATAGCTTCGAAATAATAGCTCAATGATAATATCTCAATCTCGTCATACCTCAAGAACGTTTTGCTTTTTGATTGAATCGAAAAAATTTTCATACAATTGCAAAAATTCGTTTTTCCAAAGGTAATCCCATGCAAAAAATATAGTTTTAAATAGTTATAAAATATTTAATAATTTTTATATTTAATTTTTTTTATATTTATATTTATAATATGCGTTGGAAAAATTCTGAATCCCGATTTTTGAAATCCCCGTGTAGTAAATGGCGACTGATGCACGTTAAATTTGTGGAGTCGCAAAGTCCTCCATGTTCCCATAACAAATCAATACCGCTGGGGGTACTTATTCAAGAGTTTCCTTGTCTTCTGGATTGGTTCAAAGTTACAAAGCTACAGAGTTGAGCATTAGTAGTGATAAACCCGAAAATTGGGTCGGTTGTTCAACGACGGATAAAATTAAATAAAATTGCAAGATATAAAAATTTTTACATCATTTTATGGAATGTAATTTTAAATTGCGAAATACAAAATTTGAATGAAATCGGTTGAATAATTCGAGATAAATAAAATTTTAAGCAAACTGACTTTTTTAAAATTTGATAACTCCGAAACTAATTGATCGATTGCTCTGAAAGTTTGTATTTTGAAATTAAAAGGATGTAAAAACATGTAGAACATACAATTCAATGTATTTTTCTATTATTTAATAAACTAATAAAAAATAACAAATAATTATTTAAAATTATTTTTGCTTAAAAATTTGTGTATAAAATGTTTTTTTGTAATTTTATGAAAACATTTTCTAATACACTAAAAAAGTTTTTGAGATAATGGGCTATAATCGAAGAGTAAAGTTAAAATTAAAGGACCCAAACCTTCCAACTCTCTCTTTGCCATAACTTTAGACCATATCTTCCAGATTGCGGCTGTTTCCGCATTTTGAAAATTAAAAACCTAAAACTATAGGCAAACTTGTATGTTTATCCAGAACAGAATGCGCTTTTCTGTTTATTTTCGTAACTTAAAATATGGTATTGACTCTTTGTACGTGAAAATATGATTAAATCAAAAGTTAATCAAGGTGTTCCCTTTTTCCATTTCATGCACTGTACATAAAATAAGTCAATGAGAATCTGTTATATTGATTACTATATATTTTAAGATATTGAATACGAGCAGTTTAATTGTTTTTCTGAATCAATCAACAATCTTTTGACTACTAAGAAAATGATTAAAAGAATAATAAATTAAAAACATTTTGTTTCCGTTTTTCTTTTTTTCCGACTGCATATTTATTGTGTTGATTAAAATACAAACCTTGAATCCGAATAAGTAAATGATTTTCCTCATTTAAAAGTATGAAGAAAAAAAAGATGAAAAAAAATTCTTTTATTCTTATACTTTCATTTTCAAAATTTCAAAAAGCATTTATGTGATCCCATAAACTATTGGTAAACACGTGTTGTTGTAATGTACATTACATAAAAATAATTCGTAAAGAAGAGGATCTTTCTATCCCTCTGGCTTTTGTCAGTTATTCTCCCAGCAAAGAGGTATCCCCTTTCTCCAGAAGAAAGAATATCAGTTTGAAAGATAAGTTTCCAAGAAAATGAAGATGTGTCTGAGGGAAAGGATTTCTAAAAGGGACTTCGAAAAGTCGTCAATTTCTCCCACGTCTAATCGCATCCGGTCTCTAGTTTAACAATGTATGGACAAAGTTATGAGTAGTGGTGCAGTGAAACTACAATTACATAGAATTTACAATATATTTTACTAATTTTTGTTATTAATTCTTAAAAATAAATAAATAAAAACTAAAAAGTCAACTATAAAATTTTTATTGGGCATTTGTAAATTAATTTTGGACATAATTTAGAAAAAAATGTGACCAGACTATTTTCCTGACGAAATTTTAAAATTTTCCTGATGGGGGGGCTGACCATGCCCGACAGGGGTGCAATTGCCCCCCTGACCCCTACTGGCGCCGCCCTTGGCTGTGGGATTTGTGTTAATTATTAAGGGGGTATCATGGGCCTATAACTAAATGAAGCACACAAGCAGTTTACATTTAGAAAAACTTGTGATAATTCAATTTAAATTGCAATTTTATACAATAGGACAGGTCTTCTATTGAACTATTTTTTGACCTGGATTGCCAATCTTTTATTCCAATCACTTAAAAATCTAATTTCATAGAATCAAGCCATCGTTGTTTTAGCACTCATCGCTTTTGACTAGTGAAGGACTTAGACGAAACCAATTTTTTTCCAGATCTTTTTCATCCATACTGGCAATATAAGCAGCCCCGTTCAATTTTTAAATTTGAATACTCCTGATAAAATTCAAAAATTTCAGAGTCATAATGTCTTCACCAAAGGCAATTTTTTTTTGACATTGCCAAGTATACTTCTACTAAACTTAACTCAGTGGCACTACAGCCCATAAAGGGCAAAGGCCTACTGTGCCCAGCTCAGTTTTCTTGACCTTGGTTTCTGAGATGCAGATTTTCCGGTTGGGTGGTCAGCCGAATGCAGAACCCCCCTTCTTTACTCCCCAAGCATGTTTGGTATTCACTTTATCAACCCACTGAAGGGATGAAAGGCTAAGTCAACTTGTCCAATCCAAGGATGAAACCCACAACCTGTGGCATGGAAGTGCTACCATTCAGCCATTGGACGTCCAAGTATACTTCTGAAAACTTTAAATACATTTTATAGCAAATAAAAAAAAACGTTACAATTTATAAAAATTTTAAAAAATTGCTCAGAAACAGGACTTTTCCTAGTGTACCCCCTCTACTCTTTGGAAAATGTACTGTCAGAAGAACTGTTAGGCAAATGTACCGATCGGCAAATGAGCTATCCTAAAAACAAAGTCAAGTATTTGTGTCATTGGGTAAGTCTGGATCTGAATATTGCAACTTAGTAGCAATCATTATATGTTAATAATCTATGTCGCAACATGAAAGGGAGAAACATCCAACCTGCAGATCAGAACTGAATTGTTCATTGACTTTAACTGCTCTTTTGCAACACTGAAACAACCATGAAGTTAGGCAAAGAAATAGCTTATAATGCAAAGCATAGATAAATAATCTTTGTTTTATTCATGCTGTGAGTATTGTTCTAATTTATTAACATATTTATTTTGTTTTCTTATAATTAAAGCTATAATTGATATATAATCACTGAAAAACTGCACTTATACATTTACAAAATATCAACATTAATTTACGGTGAACCATTTTCTTAATCCTCTAAAATTAAAGAGGCATCGATTATGGACCAATGCAGATAATCTATCAAAAATTATGGTAGTTCATAGGGTAACCAATGTTGTTTCAGGTATAAATGTCAAAAGTTATACTTTTATCCTTTAAATATTAGAATAAATAGATATGATTCTATTATTCCACCTACTTTGTTACTACCTTTATTACAATAGTTAGAACAAATTTCCTGAAATTTCTATAATGAACACCTCTAAATTAAAAATGGAATTAGGTTTTTTATTAGAAAGACTTACATTAGAGCTGGAGCTGAGGAAATTGTGAGAATTCGAGTGTTACAGATACCATTGCAAGACATAACCGTTGGCTCAGGCAGTAAGCTAAGCACACAGACTTGTCCTACATAGCCATCACTGTTGCACACCCAAACATCTCTTAATCCTTGTTGATTAATACCCAATGGAGTTGCACTGGCACAGGTAAACTAAAATACACATATATATTTGTGTGTGTTTACATACACCGGAACAAAAAATTTCGCATAAAACTTTTGAAGCATGTTAAAAAATTATGTAAGTTTTACTGTAGTAGTTCCAATTCCTTTAAGACAATTTAGTGTAAGGTATATATAAGCTATCGCAAGCTTATAATTTTATATTTATAATATAAGGTTATAGGCTTATAATTTTATATTATGTAATTGCATAAATTACAGACTTATAATTTTATTTTATATAATTACGTCTTATAATTTTTCTTTACCTAAGTAGAAGGAATAAATTCAAAGAAATTGTGATAAATAAATTCATCTAAGGAGAGCAGCCAGGAAAATTTTTCAGAGACTTGAAAGCCCAGGGATGAAGGGAGATTTCATTTACAGAACTATCAAAAGGTATAATGAGATGTCCTCAGTTGAAGACAGAAGAAAATCTAACAGACCACAGTCTAATCAGACAAATGAGACTTTGAAAAGGGCCAGGGAAAGGATATGATGAAATATAAAAAGATCTGCTAAAAAAAACCTAGTCTGAAAGCTCAAAGTATCAAGGGAATCAATATTAAACATTCTGAGAAAGAACTTCAAATTAAAAAACTCATAGAAAGAATAAAATTCACAGACTTTCAGAGTTGGCTAAGAAGGAAGCAGAGGGTGGAAGAAATTCTTGCTGGCATTGTCTTTTCAGACGAGAAATTATTTGGTTTACATGTAAGTCTCAACCACCAATATGATAAAACTGGTCTATTTCTATTGATAAGATCTATGAGTGCCAGCATTGTGTTTTGCAGTATCAAAAATGCTTCGTCTGTGAAGATTTAGGGAACTATTTCAAAAAGAGGCAAACTTCTGTTACTTTTCATTGAAAAAGGAGTAGAAATCAAGGCCCATTATTTTAAAACTGAGGTTTTGGAAAAAGTTTTACTTCCAACTCTCCAGGTGGTGCTCCTTCTCATTCTGCAGGTGTGGTTCAAGAATGGTGCAGTAAATATTTAGCTGAATTTTTGCTGCAGAATAAATAGCCTCTCAGCGCTCGCAATCTAAACTAGCTTGTTTATTTTGTTTGGTCATATATGATCTCACACTTTAGTAATTATAAAATCACCAATCTGAGCAAATTCAGAAGTATGATTTGAAGTGCCAATGGAAGCCATATGTGCCGCATGTGATGGATTTGAAAAGAGACTTAAGCTTGTTAAGAAGGTGGTTTTATGCTAAAGCATTTATTGTAAAGATACCTAATGCATGCTATTTTAAATTATGCTTAAAGTTTCAGCATCATTTATTTTATATTAATATAATAAAAATTTGAAAACGCATGAGAACTTATTGATCACCGTGTATACATTCAGCAAATTACTAGTTATACTTTATTTTAAAAACAAAAAGGATTTAAAATAAAAAAAAAATAGTGGCTACTTAAAAATGGAATATTTTTGTCTTTTAATTAAAACTGAAAATTCAGGGACATTATGTTCATATATTTAGAAAGATTTGAAAAAAAAAAATTCTTACTTTTAAATGCAGTTAAAAAAAAAAGAGAGAAAAAGACGAATTATAGAAAAGTTGATTGTAAGATTTGTCCTTAATGCATGCTAAAATGAAAAAAAAATTTTAATTAGAAGATTTAATTTAAATTTCATCAGTGTTATCAATAAAAAAATTGCAATAAATACAAGCAGATTTGAAAGCAAAAAAGAAGATAAGTTCAGAGAAGAATTAATTAAAAAAATTAGTTTTTAAAACTTTAGGTAAAAAACCAAATAAAGTACCTGGAGACCAGCTCTAGTTTTGCGAATTGGCAGAGGAATTAGGAACTCAGGAGGAAATCTTCTTCCTGTAGATGCAGCTGAAAATATAAACTTAATATGATTATTTTAAAATTAGCATTCAAAGATTTTAATAGCTTAAAAGTTCAGGAAAAAAATGCCTCATAATTGTTTTATTTTTAAAATCATCATTTCTCAAAGTATTTCAAGTGCTGTTTTAAATATAATATTGGTAAAATTTATAGTTTCAGAGCTTAAAACTAAAGTTTAATTATGTTTATTTGTAATTAATTTCACCAATTTATTATGTTTTCGTGTTAATTGTTGCAAAATAAAATAATCTCATAGCAGCTAGCTTGTAAGGTAGTTGGAATAGTTTTTAACCCGGCATCAGAATTTTTTTGGGCTTTCTGGGACATACCTCTCTAATACTAATATCTTTCCGCAAGATATTTAAAAATAACAAAGGTATTTGTTACTAATTTAAAGTAATAGAAGCGTAATTTAAAAAAAAAATATTAATAATAATAATTAAATTAAATAAATAAATAAAAAAATTGGATCTACTAAAATTATTTTTTTAATTGAATATGTGATATTTTTTACAAATACAAAATTTTCTATAGAAAAGAAAACCAAATTTTTTACTTCATTATATTTTATTTTTCATTATTCTCAAATGAGAATAGAAAAATCTGGAGCATTTTTTTCCCCACTCCGACAGCGAGAAAGGCATCTTTTGAATACAATTCTGAAAAGATAAAATTCTTTCGAAAATTTCTGCGGTAAAAGAAAAGCAAAATTTTCTATTTCCAAAAGGAAAAATCTTTCTGCAAAAACTCGGGAATATTCTGTGGCAATGTCACTGTGTCATCACAATTCTGCTACGGGTTTTTTTAATATGTGATAGTAAAGTAATAAATAAAGCAGGAAGAATTTTTACAACAAATGAGCTACTTTGCTAACACTTAGAAATTTAACTTATAGACCTTATACACAAAGGTTTAAATTATTGATTTCTTGGGGTAGGTAAAACAATATTTTTTTCTAATTTTAAAAATTTAGATTTATACTGTAAAATAACTGTTGCTACGACTATGAAAATTTTTCCACAATGACTATAAAAGTTGGCAGGTAAGTGATTTGATTTATTTACCACCTGCATAAAATTAAACATCTGCATGAAAGACAATAATCAGTGATATACTTTAAACTTGAAATAGCAGGCTCTCAAACTTACAGCTGATGTATGGCAACCCTTAATATTAACGTGGATAAGTAGAAGAGTCATAATTAAGTCATTTTTTGAAAAAAAAATTTCTTAAATAAGTCATGTTAACTATGATAATCAAAATTTATAGGGTGGTAAAAATTTAACTGAGAAACTCTGAGGCTCCTAGCTTCAGTTTCACAAAACATATAACAAATAAAACTCAAAGTATTTGCTATTTAGATCTTGGGCAAGATTTTTTTCAGAAGAGAGTTCAAAATTTTGTTAAAACCAATGATGCTGTACTGCTAAAAAATGTAAATCATGTGTACATACAACCATATGCACATTGTTGAACGTGGATGTAAGCACTTAGAGCACGGAGGTGTGTAAATTAAATATAATATATTGTTATACTTTGAATTTTTAGATTTTTCTTTCCAGTGGTCCTGCTTGTAAAATTTTGAATTTTTTTAAAACGGAAAATTAGATCTAAATAACAAATATTTGATCACCAATGGCGAGCTGACAAGTGTCATGCCCTGACTACTTTATTATAAAATTAAGAAATAATTCTGAAATTCAATAAATAATTGTCATATGTCAACTATGCATTGATATGGTATTTAAACAAACGCCTATGATAGTAACAGCTGTTTAACAAACTGTAATACATTTTTAATCAAAAGTATTTAATTTATTTACCGAAATTTATTTTAAAAGCATTAGTAAAATTAAAATTCCGAATTATTCTCAAATTAAGAAGAGTTTTTAGGTGATTAATTGATAAATAGAGTGATTAGGTGATTGATGATTAGGTGATAAATTAAAATGAGACATGAAAAAATACCAAGTTTCTGCTTTGCTTCATTGAATGTTGCTTCCCACAGGGCTTTGCGTTCAGCTGAAGGAAAGTGAATTACTAGATTTTCTGCTCTCTCACTAAAAGAAATAGTTACGAAATAAGTATCCAGAAACAAAAAATATAGTTGAATATGGCTACAAAATTGTTGATTTAGTTAAATATGTATTTTTTAAAAAGTTTTAATGTGTTATGGATAAATCACATTTAAGAATATAATTTTTACTTGCATTTTAAATTTAAAAATGTTTACAAAAATTAATTTAAAAAACATGGCCAAGAATACTCATTCAGAAAATCTGAAGGACTTGTTACCCCAGTTTTCAGGTAAAAAGTCGTAGCTCCATTTAATTATTTACTAATTAAAGGAAGTTTCTCTTTCTTGCTTCAATTAATATTGGCATCCAACCCCTTATTTCACAAATTAAAATAATTTTGTTATCTTTAGTTTCTTTTATAAGAAAAATAAATTAATCACAGTAAACTGTTATAGCTGTTCATGTTTTAAGAATTTTAATGCTTCTTATTAAGCCCTTTGATTCAACTAATTTAGGTAAAAGACCAAATATTTTAAATGCAGTCCTATTTCCTCTTAAAAATAAAAACTGAATATTTCCTTGATATCTTTTGCATGAATATCATTGTTATAAATAAAGCAATACTGCACTGAATACTCAAAAAATAAGAGCCAACAAGAAACTTACCATCAGTGGTATTTAGATGGGGCTTGCTCCCTGACACAAAGCTAGCTTCATTGCAATCATTAATTTTAATCAGTGAAATGGTTGAAATCATTTCGGTAAGTAAAGAGTTAGGGAGAGAAAAATTTCAATTGATTCTAACCTTAGACAAGAGGATGATTTTCTCCTCTTTTTGAAATAGAAAATAAATTAAATATTTTTTTTTGTTAAAATTTTGTTCTGGATAGTTCTTTTCCACACAGACTTACTTGAAATATTGAAAAAATAACTATTATTAAGTAAAGAATTATGACATCACATGGACATTATGAACAGGAACTAAAGTGATTCTTTACATTCGTCTATTAGTGATTCGGAAGATAAGTGATTCTTTACATTTTTAAAAGTTTAAGTAATTGACAATGTGTGATCGCTTACTTTAATTTCACAGGTAAGTTAACTGAGTATGTTGCAAAATATATATATTTGTCTCTGTTTTGCTCAAATTTTCAACAAGCACTTGTTCTGAAAGGTGGAAGTGAGTGTGTTGTATAACAGAACTAGTTTAACCTCTGTCTTGGCTTCAAAGAACAACAAAAGTTGGGGGCAAATAAAAAACATAGTTAACACAGGAAACAAATCAGTTAAGTGGTTCTATCCACAATGGATAATTACATTTGGAGCACACTCCACTAACTCCATGATGGTTGCTTCCCATCCATTGACATTTGGTGACATCTTCTCCCTTACATATGTATTATTTGATTGTCTTTTAGAATCAGAATATTAATGGGTAATTATTATAAGCTCATGAATTTCCTAATAGTACAAATTTATTTCTCATCCACCTCATCAGCAAATTTATTTGAAAGAATATTTATAAAATGATTACAAATAACTACCAGGGTAGCAAAACAATATTTTTTAATATCATATCAATGCAATATAATATTGCTACGCTAGACTCTTGAACCCTAGTTACTAATATAAGGGCTAATGTAATTTAAGATTAAATAATATTTTATCTAAAATTTAAACTTTTTAAATTATCATCTATTTCATTAATTATGGACTGAGTTCACTTTTTCTGGAAAGGATAATTCATATTATTAATAAAAATATTATTTATGGAAGAAAACAAAATATTTTTGAAAATATCTTATTTTACCAATTCAATTTTATAGCAACAAAAGAGCCCTCTTGTCTACCAAAAAATAAATGTCAGGCTCTCTCTTAAACAGGACATTGTCAAAAGTGAAACGTCTACCGCTGCTCTCCACCTCCTTGCGCTGGGAGACAATGGGAATCCGTTACCCGGAACCGCTCAGGCTGAGAGTTTTTACAGATGGCTCTTTCGTTCCGGATCAACCAAATGCTGGAGTTGGCATCTTTTGTAATCTCTTCTCCATTNAGACTAATAACAGGTGCTGTAAAAACTACACCTATAGACGCAATGACCTTGCTCACAGGCATTAAACCTTTGGATGTTGTCTTTAGGGAAAGGGCTGTCTTACTATACTTTAAACTTACCCAAATGGATAATTTCTGGACTAACTATCAACTTACTCCTCGTAATTTAAAAACTCAAAATGGATTTATTCAGACTGTCAAAGATCAATTGGTTGGGATCGATCTGCCCCAACTAGAAGGTCAGGTGGAACTGGTGAGCCCTCTTGACTACCAAAAAATTAATGTCAGGCTCTCTCTTGAACAGGACATTGTTAAAAGTGAAACATCTACCGCTGCTCTCCACCTTCTTGCGCTGGAGACAATGGGAATCCGTTACCCGGAACCGCTCAGGCTGAGAGTTTTTACAGATGGCTCTTTCGTTCCGGATCAACCAAATGCTGGAGCTGGCATCTTTTGTAATCTCTTCTCCATTGGTGCCCCAGTGGGTGCCAATAGATCTTCTTTTGACGGGGAAGTTGTTGCTATCCCCATTGCTCTCGAACAGCTTTTTTGTTTCATTGAGTCTTTTTCAAAATTGGTTATCCTTTCAGACTCGAAGGCGGCGCTTTGCTCGATTGAATCTATGCATTGCCCTTTCACTTGCGACGTTCTGAAATGTCAGGATGCGATACGTAAACTCCACCAATTTGGTAAAACTGTACCCCTACAATGGATTCCCGGGCACTGTGATATTGCAGGAAATGAGAGGGCTGATGTTTTGGCAAAAAGAGGCACAAGAATTCTCCAGACTCTTAGTAGCCCAGTCCCCTTTTCAACTTTAAAAAGTATTGTTAGATCAAAAATCAATGGGGATTTCCATCACCAATTATCAGAAAGGGTAAAAATCAAAATGTGGAGAGCTCTTCGACAGAACACCATTGACAGAACACCAGATTGGCCGCCCCTCGAAGCGGTGGCACAGTTTCAACTATATACCGGACATGACTGCCTAGCCGCGCACCTGTTTCGTTTAGGGCTGGCACCTGATCCTTAGTGTTCTCTGTGCATGAGCCAAGCTGTTTTGGATGGCGACCACATTCTGCGCTGCAAGGCCCTCCGCGAAACGTCGCCTACCGAGCGATATTGGGAAGCAAGAGCGCTCCTGAGGAAATGACTTTTTACCTTCTTGTTTTGTTCCTGTGTTTTTACCTTTTAACATGTCAATTCACCTCTGGAATTTGAAATAAAAAAAAATAATAATTTTATGCCATAAAATGCAGGAAAATATTTGAGGAAGTAAATTCATCTCACAAACAGAAAACTAGAAAAACTTTTTCAGCTATTAAGTTGTAACTTTTTCTTGATTGTTTATATCGCCATAATGGTTGCGTTACCACAATTCCAAATTATGACAATTATTACCAAGAATGGCAATTTAAAAGAAATCAAACAATAATTTTATTTTTATCTTAAATAAATCTTTATCTACAGCTACACTTTTATTTTTTTGGAAATAAATGACATATATTTCAAGATTGTACGGAAAAGATGGTTATATTTTAAGATTGTAAGAAAAATATAACTTCTTTTAAGTTTTATTTTTCTCCCAGGCAAATTAAATGAAAATATAACTTTAGAACTATATACTGTGGATTTTATTAAACTATTTCAGAATATAAATAATGTATGATAATTGTAAAATTACAAATGAGTAGAGTAAAATAAGAGATAACTAGAGTTATGACTTTTATAAAACATGTTTTATGAACTAAAAAAATAAATTGGGATTTTGATAAAATTGGATCACATTTCTAAAAATCTAGGAAGACAATTAAAATTAAAAATTAACTTTTGAAAATGATAGAAGTTGTAAAATTTATCAGAAAACTCTTTGTATAAGGAAAACAAATCATCACAAATTTAGCTATTCAAGTATTATTTGTCCCGCAGTGGCCTGATCGTTAAGACACGGTTCCCAGCAGATCACCGAAGTCAAGCATCACTGGCTATGGTCAGTGATGCTTGATGATACGGTGGGTGACCACTTGGATCAGTCTGCGTAGGGACCGAGGGTGTGCGGTATTGGTCCTCGTTAAACTGTGCTACCGTAAAGTGCTCGACTTCGCGCGCAGGTCGTCGGGCTACCGAAGCGGGGGTGCCATCCCCTCCGCAGAGGATCAAAATTGTGATGGCATGTCTTCGGATCATCCTCAGGGATGTTTCCCAGACCGTCGCCAATAGCCCATTGTGCAGCTCTAGTGCGACATAAATTAATAACAACAACAACAATCAAGTATTATTTCTCAGTTAAATTTGAAAATTTCGTTCATAAAAATCAGCTGGGAGGAAAATGGATGGTAACAGAATTCGGTAATATAATTTTATTCAGCATTTCTGAATAAATTTTTGGATAAACAAACTAAAAACAATTAAGTAATGTGTAGAATTACATTATAAAGCTACTGTTCTATATTTGACTACTTCACAACAATACAGAAAATTAAGTAAAACTATATCGCCACATTATTCTTCTAGCATAAATTTTTTTCTCTTGCTTATTCTAAAAATAAAAAATAGCACAAGATAATAACAGAAAATATAAAATCTAATATTATCTAGCATCAAAACCACTACAAAATAACATAACAGTTAATGCTAGTTAATATTAATTTGTATAGAATCTAATGTTTCATAATGCAGATAAAACAGCAACTTTTTGTATTGTTCTAACATTCGAAAGTTATGTTAAATAACATTAGATTTTCTGATGTTATCTAACAACAAGTGCTATTGGGTTGTTTCAAACTTAAAAATAGAAATATGTGTTTTTTTAGTAAATTATTTTTGTGTCAACCTTCAATTACTCTAAAATTATAGTTAAAATACTAATTTATAAATTTAAAGGAAGTAATTTATATTTTCTTATTATAAATGTTATTGAAGAAATCTAAAAATAATTTTTTCTAATAATATGTATGGTTATTACAAAAAGTACATGGTCATTTTAAAATAAAAGTTTTAAAAAGACGTACAAAAATTTAAAAGTTAACAAATAAATAAAAATGTATATAGGTAAATCTTGGCAAAAATATAATCTAATTGAAAGGAAAAAATCTTTATAAATATTTAAATATATTAGTTACAAATTTTTATGACTAAGAATTTCAGCAAGCTAATTGTAACTATATTTTAAGCTAAAACTGTAATTATTTAAATTGAAATTGCATTCATTTTTTTACATCAAAGTTTATTTAAACTTTCATTTAATGAACAAGTTACGTTTCTAAAACAAGAATTTTTTTATTTTGTTGATATTTTACTAATCAAAACATTTTTTTTTTATTTTTAATTATAATAAAATCACATTAAAATAAAATAAAAATCTTTTCCTTTCAGTACACTTTGCAGCAGGTACAGAGTGAGAGAAATAACTACAAAAACACTCATATGTAGGTTTTGTCCTGGTTCTTTTATTATTGCTAAAGATTGACACATAATGCATTATTTTGCAGAAGCTAAATTGAATATGTGGTATTAGGTTGAACATGATAAATAATTTTTATAAGAGCTAATTAATAAATTTAATAGAATAAACACATTATATAAAAATAACTTTTATTGAAAGAAATGTTTTTCTTTTAAAGGATTACTTTTTGTGCATAAAATAACATATTTTTTAAAAAGTTGCACGTATTTACAAAAAACAAAATTAAAAAACTATCAATAGTGTGAACAAAAAGCACATTTTGCATTTCTTTTTCATTGAACCTGTCTATCAGTATCTATTATTATTTTTTTCTTACGTATAAAATGCAGAATTTACTACTATATATGATTCCTAAATTTGTGTATTAATAGTGAAACATTTTGATACTTATAGAGCAAGATTTTAATTTTATAAATTACTTACGCAGAAGTAACAGCAAGCTCTAAACAAACTAAAGGTAGATCATTGTTTTGTTTTTCAAGCAAATGCTTTGAGATCCCATTTGATAAATCTTTCACAACATCCTCCAACACCTAAACAATATAAATCTTAAAACAATCATGTTAGAAATAGAGAAAGAATGTTACTTGAGTGAGATTAAAAAATTGTTTTTACATAAAGCATACATTAGGAGAACAAACCAATAAGCTGATTACAGTGTTAGTTAAAGGTTCAGAACCAGACATTTTTTCACACAGGGGCATTACTAAAATGAGAAGAATTGATATTAAATCCAGTTTTTTTTCTTTAAAACAATTCACAAAGGAGTTTGATGAACAAATGTTCATATTTAAAAACATTTTATATAACACAGTGCTTGCCCTGGAGGGGGGAGGCGACTGGATTTCGGACCCCTTGAAAAAATGAAATATTCCTATTTTTTTGGAAATGCTAATAAGGCGGTATTGATTTCGCTTAGTAACTTGATTTGCAAAATTTATAAGAAATTTTAAATATACTTTAATGAGCAAAATATTTCATTTTAAAGAGCCTACATTTTAGTCTACACAGTTTACTTCAGAATTTATTGCAAAGAAATTAAAAAAGTAGTTTTGTTAGTCCTTAATTTAATTATTATCAATGAAATATATGACAGGAAACTAGTTTGTTGTTTCCAAAAATATATTTTATTTTTTCTGAACCCTAGCCTGTTGAAACAGTATAAAACATCATTTAAACTAGTGCAACCCAAAAAACTTTATTAACGAGTTTTGTTTTTTACTCAATCAATATTTAAATTCCCTGAAACAAAAATGTTTCACTGAGAGGTGCATTTCAACTTTTAAGAGCTGAAACGTGAAAACAATTTTTAGTAAAAAAAGTATAGACAACAAAACCAATAATCTTTCGAATCAGCAAAAAATATTAAAATGCATACATTGTTATAAGTGTCATGAGATATTAGCAGTTACATAACTACTTTTCATTACATAATCAACTTGAAATTAGCAAAAATCAGTTGATTTGGCTCAACTTTCAGATGATTTAGTTCAACCATCACATTTCTGAAGTTTCAGATGAAAAAAACTTAAAAGCTGTTTTCAAATAAAATACAAAATTCAGCTGAGCAGTAGTCATAATCATTGCCAATACATCTATAAGTTTAGGAAAAAGAAGATTCTGTGCAACCAAAAGGATGGTGGGACCCCAACATATTTCATACAAACTGAATTCAAAAGAAATACTCCCTTGTCCCTTCTGGGCACAATGCGTGAGAAAATTCAATAGTTGTAAACTATTGTGCTTTTCCCATTTAAGTTTGACCAAAATGTTTTAATAATTTGATCTGATCAGTTAAACCAGTCTTTTCACTACAGCGCGACAGTCTCGAATTTTTTTTCTTGCATTAAAAAATGATTGACGCGAGAGGTTTGCGCACACTATTAATCAATTTCAAAATGCGCGAATCTCGCGCATTTTGGAAAAAAATTCGTCTTCTGCCATTTTGAATAAAATCCATTTCCCTTTTCTTCCTTGATCTTTCATTATTTTCAACATCGGTCCTTCTTATCTAGCTTCTCTATTTACCAGTATTGTTCAAACCGGTGCAAACAGCAAAACACCCCCCCCCAAAACCACGGAACCCCTTTCAGAACACATTTATCTGCAACCATGTGTTCACTGTGGGTAAGGTTTCTTCATATAAGACGCTTAAATTTTTTGTGCATGAATGTAAGATGGGCAAATATCTTGTTAAGGCAACATCTTCAACTGCGTAACGGACAAATGAATATTAAACAAATGTCGGAAGAAACGGTCAAAACGAAACAAATACGGATATTTTCTACCAAATAAAAAATCAAAGACAGATAAGTATCAAGAGAAATAGGAGAAAATGTATGACTGGTTAGAAAAAGAGGAGATAAATTGCATGATTTAAATGTTCTGTTCAGAAAGAAGAAGAATTTTGGAAGCAGTAAGTTCATTCTTTTTATTGTTAACAACTAAATTTATTACATTTTAACTGTAAATATTTTAAAATAAAATTGCATATCAATTATGCATATAAAATTAAAAATGCAAATAGATAACATTAGATGCAGATATTTATTTATGAGAAAGAAAACCCCCTTCTATCAGGAGTACAAAAAATAAATTATCATGAAAGCTTAAAACTTTTCTTCAACCCTCTAACTCTCTTTTGCTGACATCACCAACCATTGAGGCTATGAAGGGTGGTTCATTCTAATCAGTTGATATTCAAAGTTATAAGTTGCATGCAGTTCAAGGTCAAATGCTCGTCACTTTAGTGTGACTGTTTTTATTTTATTTCCTTCTCCAGTATTTGTACTTATTGAAATATATTAAATGTGAATCGATTTCTGATTTAATTTCGAAACACCCCCGCCCCTTTTCTTCCGTTTTTATACTTCAGCGATTTTGTTGTATTTTGCGTTTAAACTGAATTAATAGATTATAACTATTTTTTTTTTCTCATTGTATTCCTGCGATTTGCATTTAACTGAATTATTAGATAAGAGTTCGGTTTTATTCGATTCGTTCTTCTTCCTTTTTCTCCTTCTGCGATTTGGATGTTTTTTTTTCATCTTTTTTTGCAATTTTGATTTTTATCTATTCACCTGGTTTTCTAAATAAACAAACAAACAGCTAGTTAAGCGGAAGTAACTTCATCCGGTCCGTACGAACTTCCGCTACATCGCCATAACCTTCTTATTATTATGTTTTGCATTAGATTTCCAAACATTGTTGGCGTTTTCTCTTATCTCGATAACGTTTGTTGTTTGGAAATTTAAAAATCTGTTTCATTAAATTGAAATGAGCTTTTCCTATTATCACAAGTTGAATGATGATGGCAAGAAAAAATTGTCAATAAAAAATATTATAAAATCTATATTACAGAAAAAATAATATTCAGTTGTCTGATCCTTTTTCTGGAGTTATTTTAAAGTTTAAAATAAGAAATACAATTAAGTTTTTAAAAGACACTGGTCTCTAGCAGCTAAATATTAAGTTAAGATATATTTACCTCGCAGATATACTATTTATTCATGGCATTCTAAAATCATGCACAGCTTAAAACTTGTAACTTTTAGATACGACATTAAAAGAAGTACAAAATGTGGCTTTATTGTCAATCTGTAACAGAAATTTTATTTCCTTCAAAAAATTACGCTTCATAATGAAAATATTTTTTTTTCTTTCTTAAATAAAAGCAATATCTTCAATTCCTGCACTCAAAAAAAAAAAAAAAAAAAACAAGAGATACTTCATTAAATTTTCTTAAAATGCATTTATTTTATTTTTCTTTAGGGAGTTTAATTGTTTATAGCAGGGATGTCAACACTGGGGCATCTTGTGCACCACTTTCAGTGTAAAAAATCCTGAACATGGCAATTATTAATATAAATTTTATGTCATGTCAATAAGTGCTACCGTGTTAATGTTGTTCGTTGAATTATTACACGTACAGTAACTTTTTTTTCTAGATCAAATAAAGCTATACGTTAGCAAATATCACAGATGTTATCTTTAAATCTTGAACTGTTTCTAGTGAAATTTAAACAATGGCTAACATTTAACCAATCACAATTTTTTGCTCATCATTTTTATGTATTTAAATGAGCAAGAAAATAATAAATAGAAAATTACATTTAATTACTTTTTTTTAAACGAAATAATTTTACAATTACAAATAATAAGGAGAAAACTTACAAGGATACAAACACTAATGTGATTTCTGTATTGTTTTAATTTTTACTAATTCTTTTATATTTAAAATTTCTTCAAAATATCATTTTTTTTAAAATTTAAATTAAGTTTGTGTGCCACATAAAATGCCCCCTCTGGTTTAAAGTAACTTTATTTTTTATATGTCAAATATAGCACACACGAATCTGAATTATTTAGTGTTACAAGTCATGTTTCTCTATTCAGATATTACCTTAAATTTTACATTACATTATGGGAACATATCAATTTTATTTTAAATTACGCTTGATGAAATCTTGAAATTTAAAGAATAAGAATACTGTATATATTTGATAAAAAATTATTTTTGGAAAAATTTTAAGAAATATATACAGAAAAGTTTGTTTTGTTCAGATTATATATTTTTTTAAACTCAAAATTTCAGCAGAGGGATAGCATGGACCCTTTGTTTCATCACTGAGTAGAAGCAAATACAGTCCATGTTGAAAAAAAATATAGTGTAGAGCTTTATTCTGTAATAATTCCAGGTAATGTTTGCGTATAGATCTTTATATTGAGTTATTTAGAGACTGTAAAAACAAACACACTCCAAAGAACCTTTATTTCTTTTTTAACTTTTATGTATTCAAAGAACCTTTATTTAACTTTTATGTATTTTTCCTAGAAATGGATTTTTCCTATTAATCAACAATGATTGAATCAGCCTAAGTAAAAACATTAAAAAAGAAATAAGTTCCGGTTGCTCCGGAAGTTTATGCGGACCATTACATTTGCAAGCGAAAATAAGACCCGCCTGCAGATAAGGCGAATATATATATTATAGTATTTAAAAAAAATTTTTTGTTTAAACTGAGTTAATAATATAAAACTTTTCTTTTATCTATTTTATTATTTTTCTTACCTGATTATTTTTTTCAGTCATCTTTTTTCTCGCATTTTTGCAATTTGGATGTACTTTGTTTTTTGGATATATTTTGCTTTTTAACTGAATTATTATTAAACTAAAATTAGTTTTTTTTTCTGTATTTTTTGCTTCATTGATTTGAATAGATTTTGCACTTCTACTTTTTTTTTGTTTCTTTTGTTTCAAACTTCAGCAATATGAACGCATTTTGCAAATTAACTGAATTTTTAGTAGAGAACTGCATATTTCTTTCCTCGATCCGTTTTTGTAATTCAGCGATTTTGTTATATTTTGCTGGATTATTAGTTTAGAGCTAGTTCCCCCACCGCTATAATTTTTATACTTACATAATAACATACTTACATCCTGATATGTCCCGCAGTGGACTGATCGTTAAGACACGGTTCCCAGCAGATCACCGAAGTCAAGCATCACTGGCTACGGTCAGTGTGCGGGTGGGTGACCACTTGGATCAGTCTGCGTAGGGACCGAGGGTGTGCGGTATTGGTCCTCGTTAAACTGTGCTACCGTAAAGTGCTCGACTTCGCGCGCAGGTCGTCGGGCTACCGAAGCGGAGGTGCCATCCCCTCCGCAGAGGATCAAAATTGTGATGGCATGTCTTCGGATCATCCTCTGGGATGTTTCCCAAACCGTCGCCAACAGCCCATTGTGCAGCTCTAGTGCGACGTAAATTAACAATAACAACATCCTGATAAATTAAGGTTTAAGAGAATAAAGTGGAAACTGTGTTTTAGAAGTGAAAATAATATAAATGTGTGTTGATTGTTATATTATATATTTAAAGAGCTGATTAATAATTATATATTTAAAGAGCTTATATTTAAAGAGCTGATTGGGTAAATATAGTATAAAAGTAATCGAATAGGGTAAATATAGTATGACTAGGCATTTAGTAAGAAATGCTTTCACTTTAATTTTAATATAACAAATTCCTTATTAGTTCTAAGCAAACTTGAATAATTCTTATTTTAAGGTAGATAAATCAAAGCAATATTACCCTATACAGGTATAGTCAGTAGGGAAATCACTTTCTTCTTTTTGCTCTGATATGCACTCAAGCATATCCCTTCATCCACTTGTATTGAATATCACTTTGAATTGAAGATGTACAAACATAAATATAACAGCCTTAAAACATTTAAAGATAATTTTTTATTGATTTAAAAAAATTGGAATTTTTACTTAAAAATTGGAATAAGATATTCTGAATTTTTTTTCTTCTTTTCCTAGACGGTAGTACATTTTACAAAACCACTTCTCTACAAAGGCATAAAAATTCCCACAAACATATGCAAGCTTAAAAGCATAAAATTGCCAAAAAGACAAGAAAGTAGCTACGAGAAATGCTGATAAAAAGAATTAGTCCTTTATAATAAGTTGTTTAAAATCAACTCTATTTTTAGCTGTTAATGAATTATCAAACTTCCTGATTGACTATTTACAGCAATTTGTTAAAGTTGAAGGCTGTGAAAACTGTGCTGGAAGACCTAGCGCGAAGTATGAACATGGAAATAACTTCAACGAACTTCACTATTCTATAGCAGAAATAATTGAAAAGTCTATGCTGGAAGATGTAAAAGATAGGAAAGTGTGTGCACAATGCTTACTATTTACTTAGTGATTCCAAATAGTTCAGCATCTGTTGCAAGGTCATTTAGCACCCGAAATCGAATTAAGACAAAATATCGTAACAGATTGACTGATAAGCATTTGAGCAACCTAATGAGAATAGCTGATGAAAAAGTAGATATAGAACATTTTTCATATGATGATGCAGCAAAAATATTCAATGCTTTAAAAATTAGAAGATGTTAAAAATGCATTATAATTAAAAAAAATATTTTTTTTCGAAGTCTATTCATGTTTTTTTAACTTTTTGAAATCTCACCATGTTTTTGAGAAAGGGTGAGAAATTCTCTCCCATTTTTTTTCTGTAACGAAAACACTGGTTAAGCTATTTCCCAGAGGGTCCAAAATTCCAAGAAACACAACGACAACGCCTCAATTTCCTTTCCCATACTCTTTGAAAAGGCATTAATTACCTTAGCATTGGCCAAAACAAACAAGTAATAAAAAATTTGAATAGCAAGAAAAGAAGGAAGAACTACAAAATTTATTGCTGCGATTTTCACCGATTTTAACTAAATTTTATTAAAGATTATAAAATCTGTTACCTTCAAAGTTTTTAAAAATACATTGGGGGAGAAGGATAATTTATTCATTTAAATTTATTAATTTTTTCTGTTTAAAATTAAAATATGAAATAAAAATTAATAATAGCCATTAAAATGTTAAACACCAATAAATATTATTGCCACAATAGTAACTATGCTTTTGTTTCATACTTGATCATTGCGAAGTTGAAGTATCATTTTTCGTAGAAGTATTTTTCCTTTTCTTCTTCCAGTTTTAGGGTGGTTTAATTTCAAATATTTTGAAAGTAGGACCCCGGTTTGTACAGTGTGCAAAATAAAACGGACCACTCTGCATGTTTGAGAGACGGAAGTTATAATAATTATATGTTAGTAAGAGAGACGGAATAACATGCCATCTGAATCAAAAGCATCAAGGTCAACTACATTCTATTTTCCTTCCCCCTAAAAGCTGATGACTAGAGTATGCACAGTCTGGTTACTTATTTCGTCGCACCTCATAACATATAAGAGAATATTCTGTAAATAGGAATAAAACTCCTAAAAAAAACATTTTAAATGTTTAATTTAATTTTTGTTACCCACTTTCTAGCATAAAATTGAGATCCTGAAATAAAACATTTTCCTAGGTAAAGAAAAATTATATTGCGAACCAGACTTGAATGATTGCTTTTCGTACATAAAAGTTAGAAAAAGTTACCTTAAAATTCTTACATATAAAGTGATAATCAGACCAATTATGTAAAATGGATCTGAGACATGGACTTGAACTAAAAGTGAATCTGATCTTTTAAGAATATGGCAGAAGAAAATTTTACAAAAAATTTTAATTACATTATCATATTAAAATTTTAATTACATTAGAAGAGCAGAACAAATAAAGGAATTTATGATAAATATAAGGAAACAGACATAATAAAAAAGAATCCAATGTTTGGACACATCCTAAGAAAGGACTCAGAAAGAAATGTCATAAGATTATTAGATGGAAGTCAAGATCTAGAGAAAGATCTACAGCTAGATGGAAGGAACAAAGCTAAGAAGACCTTAAATAGCTCACAATTGCCAACTATAAGAAAAAGGCGATCAAAGGAAAAGAATGGCCCCAAAACTTAAAGGAGGCAATGACTCTACAAGAGCTATCGCAGTAAGATTCTGAAGATGTCATTTTAAGTCTCAATGAAAAGAACATAAACAATGAAAGAACAATACATTCCTCCCAGCATAGAAGAAATAAAATAACGGATATTTTACTTGTGACATTTTTTAGGCTATGAGTAAAGCTTTTATATATTACGCACAGTGCCGGATTACCCATTAGACCGGACTAGGCCTTGGCCTGGGGCCTCCAGTGATTAAAGGCCCCCTTAAATTGGATTTTTTGAAAATAAATTTTAAAAAATTAAGAAAAACAATGATTTTTAAAAAATAAATAAATTTCAAATATATATTAATAAAATACGCTTTTTTTTTCAAATATTGTTTTCTGAAATGAAAAGATATATAAATACTTTTATATTTGAATAAGTAAAAAATATATAGAAAAAAAAATTAATGTAAGGGTCCAAAAAATATGATTGGCCTAGGGCCCCGTGTACGCTTAGTCAAGTCAAAATGAGAAATTCAAAACTGGAAATTACATACGCACTTAAATTTAGTGAAGTAAAAAATATGTATATAAATCTTCATCTAAAGAAGATTTTTTTAAACCATTATTTTTAATTACTTTAACTATTACCAGTCAGCATACTGCAGTACTAGCAATAGCACCATCCGTTGAAGAATAAGAGAAGTATTTTCAACATCAGCGGATATTTTATCGCCAAAAAACTATTTTTTAAATTTCTTCAGCAAATACGGAGAAATTTGAGAATATATGGGTAAACAGGAGATAGTCGTAAAATACAGGAGTCTTCGTTAAAAAATAGGAGACTAGGCAAGTATGTATATAATTAAGAAAAAAAGTCAAGAAATATACAAATAACTGAGCTTTAAAACAAGGTGGATGGTAATACATTTATATAGCAAATACTTTTTGTGAGAAAAATCATTAATTAAAAAAAAATTCTTTTAAAAGACAATTTTTCTAACCTGGTGTGGTGTATTCAGTTTGCTAATTAAATCACTTATTTCCTTTAGCACAATGATATCCTCCTCCAAATTTTTAATGTCTTTCAAGGTCCTCCTTAAATTAATATTAGTACCTAAAAAGGATTAAAACATCAGTACTTAATTTTTAAGACATTTTAAACGATTTTAAATTACAATATGAACTTTAAAATAAATAATTAATCTTTCGTTTGGAAAAGCACTCTTGAAAAAAAACAGCACTCATTATTTAGAATGTACCATTCAGAGCTGCAAAAAATTGAGGTATTTTTTAAAAGTTACATGTTTAATATTTTAGACTTGCAACAAAAAAAAATTTCTTAATTTCTTTAGACCGTTTTTGAATATGTTCCTATGGATAATACTCGAAACGCTTTTTAAAGTAATGTAAAATGTAAAAAAAAAAATAAAAAAATTTAGTTGCACATATTTTAAGAGGCAGTTCATTCATTAGGGTGCCTAAGATGTAAGGAATGATCTATAAGTCAATTTAAGTCTTCTTGAATCATTGGATCAAAATTTTCCTCAATATTTCTTTAAAATATAAAAAATGGAAAATTTCTGTTTTGCGTGTATGTCCTTTTTGAGCCTCGATGGCTCAGTGGTTAAGACATTGAACTGTCAATGTGAAGGTCAGGGTTCCAGTCCCCAAAGGCTTGCTTGAAACCTGCCCAGTTTCAGATATGTGGGTACTTGTCAAGAAAGTTAAGGTGGTCTGTGCTATCCCTATTGCAATATGCACACTGTTTGTCACAAAATTGTGGAGCCTTAACCTCCATGACCCTCTAAGTGAAAATACTTTTTGTTTATGCCCTTTTAATGGCTTTCAAAAGTTAATTTCTTCTTATGTTTCAATACAAAATAATTTTCATAATAATAATATCAGTAAGTAAAGGTGCTATTCTTCTGATAATGAAGTAGATATTATTTCAAAAGTCGAAATGTCTCAACGAATATTATTTTATCTTATGTAACATTAGCAGAATATTAGTCAATTGTATTCAGAGGCTACCGTAATTAAGCATGCTGATATTATATTGCATGAATCTAAAGCAAAAGTGTGACCTCAGTATTGTTGAACCAAATTTTCTTTTAATATTTTATTTCATTTTTTTTTCACATTTTTTTTTTAACAGATTGGTTAGGGCAGTGGCTCCCAACCAATTTCGACCAATTTCCTATTTTTCATCAATATTAGAAGCTTATTGTCTTTATCAGAAATTCAAAGCACATTTATATCATATTCAGATTTTGATTACTCAAAAGACGTTTCAAAAATAAAAAAACAAAAACATAGAAAATTATGTTATACCAATGTCTTCATAGTTTTTTTACACTAACAAATTATTTAAAGAAACTAATACTTTAACTATTAGGAAAAAGTATTAACTTAGTATCATTTGTATAAATATTCAACTACTACATAAAATTTGTGGTCAACTGCCTGAATAAAATTGGTCGTTAAATTGATATAATTTTTAAAGAGAGCAACACATCACAACTTTGTCAGTTTTGCAGTATGATCTTTAAGGGACTCTTTTTCTTCAATGTTCTTTTTTCCACAATTCTTTGTCACAGTGTTAATTTTGTGTTCTAAATATAATATTTTACAAATTTTTTCTAATGGGGAACCTCATGAAAGTGGATCAGTTATAATTTTAAATGAAAAAAACATAAAATTTAAGTGAAATTGGTGGCATAGTTCTTCAAAAATCAAGTTTTAAATATAAGACTTTTCAAAATTTGTTAATTATGAAACTATTTGATTTATTTAGTTCAAATTTCGTATTTTGTTATTTAAAATTGCATACTCAAAAATGGTGTAAAAATTTATACAAGTAACAACTAAGAAACTTTTTGATTATTAGTAAATAAAATAATAATTATAAAAGTTGTTTGTAAATGAAATTATCTTCGAATTAATGAATTTTATAACTGTGTACAAAAATCTTTTGATTCGTTTAAATATTTCTCGAGATTTAACCCAGATTTTAAATACATATAGTGACAAACTATGGATCACCAATGCTTATCTAAAGTGACCACATGTCCCAATTTTGGCGGGACAGTCTTGCTTTTTGGTGAACTGTCCCACGTCCCGTCGATTTTTAAAAATGTCCCGCTTTTTAGAAAATATCTGCATTTCTTAAATCATTTTGATGAGAATTGTGGGTGGTAATTCTTAAATCTCTCTTTTGTAAATCGCAATACGTGATTTGCAAACTACTAGAATGAGAATTGTGAGGCATGATTCTCAAATTACTTAAATATGTATCACGTTATATGATTCAGAAATAACTTTAATTGAAATCATGACGTGTGATTTATAAAATACCTTAATATGAATTCTGATGAGTAATTTGCAAATCACTTTAAAGTAATATTCAATATGTAATTCATTAATCACTTTCAGTTAAACCGCAATTCGTAGAATATTTTATATGAATTCTGATCCGTAAATCAAGAATCAGTTTAATGTGAATCACGATGTTTATTCATAATCAATGAAACCAGTAGAACTAAGTTTAATTTATTAGTAGTAAAAACTAAATGTAAAAATTTGATTATAAGTAATAAAAAATTAATTATCCTTTTTACATAAATTAAAAGAACAAATAGGATAACAATATTAACCTGTCGTAATAATGAAGTTAACACATTGAGCATATTTCTTAATCAATTAAACACTATATATCATTCGAAAACTATGACTGAAAAACCTAAAATTTGCTAGAAATTTCAGCTTTCAAAACATCAGAGAGATGAACAATAATCTGGTCTGAAAAATCTAGGAGAGAAAAGTTTTGCATCTTCTTTAACCCCTTTTCACTTCAAGCATTAAAAATTGCAATCAGAATTTCAATAATTTTCCTTTGAATTTATTTATTATTTTCTTACTACTTTTTTGTAAGAAAAATTAGTAGTATTTTAATTCCTGAAAAATCAAGTACTTTTCAAGTACCCCATGTCAGAATTCAAGGACTTTTCAGGACCCTTATTTTTTTCAACCAAATTCAAGGACTTCCAAGGTTTTTCAAGTGGGAACCCTGTCATAATAAAAAAAATATAGAAATAGTACATGCATCAAAATTGTGAAGTTAATACCCACCTGAGAGGTTCAAATTATCTCATAAATAATAATTAATGTTATCATTTAAATATTAATTTGGTTTTATAATATAAATAGATTTAATTTAAAACTTATTTTAACTTTTAAGTACACTGTATATAAATTTTATAATTTTTCATTAATGCTTTAATAATTTTTTATTGTTATTTGAAAAATTTAATTAACTTTTAAAAATAATGACAAACGTTAACAATATTGAAGTTTTCAACTTCAGATTACAACTTGTTCTTATAACAGAATATGACAACAATGTTTCAAATTTTTATAAGTCATATTTTTGAATTTTCACATTTTTAAAGCATACATATACCTGCCAACTTGTACAATCGTTGCGAAAGATTTTACAAAGTGGTAGTAAAATGACAACTAAGTTTGAAAGAATTTTCTAAAATAAAAAAACATTAAGACATCTATAAGCATATTTAGCCAACAAATAGATATTTTCTGAATACTATTTTAAATTATTGATTGATCTTGGTAGTTTAAAAAAGTTTTTATTTTTGAAACTTTAAACTTCAAGATTTAATACGCTAAATCGCTAATGTTGTTACCATGGAGAAAATTATTTCTCAACAGCGGCACAAGTTAGCTGTGAGCAAATATAAAACTTTTCCATTTTAAACTAAAAGTTTATTTTAAATGTGTTATAATAAAAAATATTTCTTGATGAAAAACTTTTATTAGGCAATTCAAACAAATGACTTAGAACTGAAAAACAAGAAGTAATTAAAACTAATAAGAACTTCAATTAAACAGCAAAACTACTGTGTCATTATTTCCTCTCTACTTCATTTAATTTTTATCGTTTGCTACAAAAGTGTGTATTTTACATTCTATGTTATTCTATATATTACCTGTATGTTATTATTAAAATTTTTTCGTTCTTTCATAATACTTGTGCTTCTTACATAGAGAAAGTTATGTGGTTATGTATTGTTTAAATACTAATGAACATGATCCAACATCGATGAACATGATCTAACATCGCAACGAACACATTTAATGACAACCTGACGAGATACAGAAACTAACATAAACAGTTAATACAAAGTTACAGTTAACCTAGCTGATGCCACATCTCCCTCCTGTAAAGATTTAGTCTATTAGGAGCTCTCACCGTTCTTCCAGGGCAAGTCACAACAGTTTATGGAGATATATCTGTCTTCTGAGTTAAGACAATAGGATCTGGATCTATTATTTCTGGTAAGCTCCTTCTGTTATCTCTTTTACAAAGAGCTTCCTCTAAATCATCGTTCAGAGGTGGAATCTGTAGTTTAGATCCTGGGATCAAATGTTTCTTATTCTGTTGAAGCACTTGTTTGCCTTCTTTAACAAAGTAAGACCTTGGTCATTCAGCTTTTCTCTGTACAGTTCCAACAGCCTACCTATCAGTTATCCATACCTTTTCACCCGAATGTATTGGTTTCAATTCATAAGCATTGTGCCTCCAACCATAATCCTTTTTCTGTCTTTCAATTCTTTTCTCTTCTTTTTCTTCTAATATCTCCTTCTCAATCAGCTTTGGTTGAAGTAGTGAAATTGCTAAAGGTAAGGCTGATTGTCGTCGACGCCCCATCAACAATTCAACAGGACTGTAGCCATTCTTTAAAGGTGTCGTCCAAAAACTCAATAAAGTCAAGTAAGGATCAAAAGTCAAGGCTTTTTGAATATTAATTTAATTATCTTCACTGCTGCTTCAACAAAATCGTTGTTTTCAGGATACCTTGAACTTGAAGTAATGTGTTTAAAAGTTTTGAAATTCAGCTGTTCTAGTAACTTCAAACTGTGGTCCAATATCTGACCTTACAACATCTGGAATTCCATGTCTGGAAAAATTGATTTGCTGTGTAAAATTAATTTTTTTTAATGTTAATCTATCCAGCTTTGCCACTTCTGGATAACGTGAGTAAAAATCTGTAACTAATAAATACCATTCTGCATGGAGTTTAAATAAGTCCATAGCTA